GTTGATTCCCCAAATACAGCGTGCTTGTGTTTGTCTGTGAAGGAGTGTGGGCCGGCTCCATTGATGAAACGTGGCTCCCATCCACCTGCTTCCCGCTTTTATCCCTTGGGCTTTACACTAAATATGGGATATCCGGTTGGAGCTGTGGGTGGTGCAGCGCAAGCCGCCCATGGCAACTCTGTAGACGCATACCTCCTGTGGCTGTGCGCTATGGAGGCCACATTAACAGGCGAATCGGGAACAAAATTCTGCCAACCATATATATGTATATAATTAATTAAATATACATATTCAGAAACATCTAACTACAGTCATGCAATTTAACCAGGCGTTATCCCTTGTTGAAAATGGGCTACCTCACAGGGAGAGCTAAAACAAAATGAAACAAATGCAATATATTTTGTTGGTTAAAGTTAAAGCCTGCGGGCGATCTTATCAGAAAGCGCAGCTGACCGGACACAGGGAGTGAAATGGTGCCCAGGTTAAAAGAGCAGGGTGTAGGTGGACCGGAAAAGGGATCTCTTGGAGGCCATCGTCCAATGGGACCGATAGGTTGTACACCAGTCTAACTATCTGGCACCTTCTTGGCCGAGTCATGTGCAAAAATTAAAGCGAAACCATCAAGGTGGATAAAATAAGCTTTTCTTGGTCTTGGCGTGTGGCGGCTCGGGACAATTGTCTAAAGATCTGAATAGGTCAAGTTTTTGTGGTATAAAAACGAAATAAAAATAGTGACAAGCTAGAAGAGAACAAAGCGCAACAATAGAGTATATATGCCAGTTATCAATCAAATAGCAGGTGAAGAAACAGTGGCATTTTAACTTAAAGTCTAGTAAGAATTAGGTTGGGCTACCCGATATTTTTCTCAATTGCACATGAATGATATTGTGGCGAAAGGCGAGCGTGAGAACCGCTTTACCAACGCTGTGCAAACGAATGCCGAGCCAAAGTGTGAGAACGGGACCGGATAGATGAGACGGGGAAGCCGTTTGACCGAACGTCGTGCTAGAGTGTGGGAGATGGGACGGTTTGAACATCACGGTCAGGACTGCTTAGCAAGCGTAAGATGGCCCGACCGGAAGTGTGTGATGAAATACGAGACCAGAGAGGTGGACGCTGAATCAGCTACCGGACCTCTGCAATGTTCCGTAACACATAAGTAGTGCATTTCTTCTAGTGTAAATGGAGTCCTGATTGCCGCGTAGTCCAACTTCCGCATTTCGAAGGCGCTTCCCAAAATATGTGCCAGCTCCGAATCCATCGTGGCTCCTATCTACATGCCTCCTGGTCTTATTTCTTCGAGTTTACACCGAATGTTATGCAGTGTGTGAATGGAGCTGTGGGTGGTGCAGCGCAAAGCACCCGTGGTCCCTCTATAGGCGCAGGTATCCTGTGGGTGTTCGCGGTCGCAGTAATAGTGAAACTCAGAAACGGATGCCGCCATTCGTATATATATATATATATATATATATATATATATATATATATATATATATATATATATATATATATAATGGATCCGACACTTAACCAATGTGCAAGTGGCAAAGTGCCACAACACATAGCTATACAAAACAATAAAACTAGGGAAAAGATAGTCAGGGGAAAGGAGTCTCACATGTTTGCCACTGAGTGCAGTTCTGGGTCATATCCACTAGTGTTTCCAAGCAGATGTGCACGCAGTCCTTGGTTCATCCAACCTAGAGTCGAGAAACCATATCGCGGCCAACATTGATGTCAGCGTCTTGATTCCTTGAGCCTAAGTTGTGTTTTGACCACATCTACGTCGCCTTCAATCAATGCCGGTGCAAGCAAAGTGGGTGGGGCGGGGCGACCGCTCAGATGGCACACGAATCAGACATCAGAGCTATCGAAGCTTCCGCAGGGAGATTCCGCAATTCAGCGGTCGACAGAGTTTGTCTGACCTAAAAATATGGCGGCGAACGTCATTATTAGTAAGGCAGTGCAGCAGACGTGCACCAGCGGTGATCAGAAACAGCCTCTGGACAGCGCTCATTCAAACAGACCAGGTCTTATACTAGCAACAGAACATTGTTCTTACCGTTGCATTGCAGACACGGCCTTTTAGTGAAAGGCTGAGGTCATGCCGGTGTCGGTGGTTGGCGAAAGCTAATGTTGCTTTGGAGATGTGTAAATTTGTCAGATCTGTTAATTCACCCACGCTTATGAAGCTCCCACAGTGAACGAACTTGTCGGCTACACAGAGAGGGCGAGGAGCAGCTACTGATTAGTCGCTAAAGAAAACCTTACAGTTCGAAAGGGCGAAGGTTATTCCGAATCGGGAGACAGATATCGCCAATATGCGCAGCATGCTCTGGGTAGACAGCGAGGAGTCACAGCTTAGGATGATATCACCAACATACTCCAAGTCACAAAAGCGATCACTCGGGAGCAACTCGACGCCATTAGGCTTACAGCATATCAGAACACTCTCGAAGATGTCATCCATAGCGAAGTTGAACAAAAATAGTGATACGGAGCAACCCTGTCTCACACCACTGGTGATGCCGATGGATTGCGGGATATCACCAGGTACCTGCACATGGCCCGAGGTTGAAGAGTAGATAGAGGAGGTAGAAGAACGTCTTCGGCACTTCCCTTCTCAGCAAGCAACGTCAGAAGACAGCTCTTTCAACGGAGGCAAACGCGGCATGAATGTCCAGTAAGCATACGATAACGGGCCAACTGGAAGTACCTAAAGTTAATAATCGATAGAAATAAACTGTGAGCGGAAGACAGCTGCAAAGGGCGATCGCCGTTGTCCATCCTGCGAGTAGCATGGTTATGCGGACCAATGAAATCGCGCTTCAGCTTTTAACCTACCAACCCGGTGATCAACATTGGGGAAGTCCAGGGTTGATGGCAGAAGTCGTCCTCAGTTGAGTACGGGCTGCAATCCATGGGAGCATATGCCGGTAAGACAAACAGAGCGCTTAGTAGCATTGCGGCTAGATGGTCATACGGAACTTTCTATCCGGATTGCACAGAGTTGGCTGTGGACTGGTATCCAAGCAAGTAGAGCTGCTCCTGCGCTCGCAATGAATGCAATTCCCACGCCGGTTTGGCTCGTGTCTTCAGCAGTTGCGTCTACAGGTAAAATGTGAATATACCGTGGGAGCACGAAGGCAATATCAGTCGTGAGGCTGTGCTTGAGCTTTATAAGCGAGTGTCAGGGAGTCAGCAGATATCAGTGGAAAGGATTTTTAGGGTGGGAGCAAGAGCTGCCTGCGATCCTATACATATGAGCACCCGGACATTGAAAACAGCCAACTTGAAGTGGGAACAGGGGGATGGGAACATTCTAAGTGCATGACTGGGTGACACACGGTGGTCATGAACTCCTCAATGACATAGTCGGAATTGTCGCCCAAGATGATGCATTGTTAAGGGCTAATGATCGGAAAGGAGTGACCGAAAATGGGGTAGTTCAAAAAACATGGAATAAAACATGTAGTGAGTAGTGCGGAAGGGCTCAGCGGAGCCGACTGTTAGCACTCGGCGAAGATGGAGAGGATACAAAGAGCGGAATTTCGTACGTCCATCTGTCTATGTGCTGGGTAGGTGTAGAACTTCCCAGCTGATCAGGCTGAGGGAGAGGGTTGCCCCAAATTAGAGCCGTTGGCCATGAAAATGTGACCCGCAAGGCAGCTGGGTGAGTAACGTATATCGAAGAACGTCGGGAGCCGGTATCCAAGTTCTGGGTAACACGGCTTTCGAGCATTAACAAACTGCTCAGGGCGCCTGAAAAACCCGATTGTGACATCATTTAACGCACTCCCAGATGAAAAAACCCTTTGACGATCAAATGGCTCATCCGCCTTCCTAGTGTTAAGTTGGGCGTGCCCGCAGAAACCGGTGGCCATTGGGGTTGTTCCTCCGCCCTCCGACAGATATTCATCACTGGGTGCAGAAATGAGTGGTCAGTGATCCTATAGCCGATCACAGCGACTTCTACACAGCGCCATACGAGCTTATGTGATACTTAGTGGGAAGTCGAGTGACCAGTCCAGAATTCGCTACGATCTAAGACGCTGCCGCTGAGTGGCCGCGACAGCATGTCTATCTCGGCTGCGAACAGACGAGGCTTATTCGCGGTTATCTCCATTAGGAAAGTATTCCTCAATCCGCAACGTGGGGACGCGCCGGATGACGTACAGCTCCGCTAAGGACCGAAATGCATCTAACAGCAACATATTACCTTTAAAAGCGAACGCGGTGGATCTTGGTGAGTAATGTTGAGAGGGGAACCGCCATGGGAGAAGTCCAAAAGCTAGATTTGATTGAATGCCCAACGAAAACGGAGGAGATTATGTTTCTCAGTGGAGCTGAGATTCATTTGAGAAGCACCCACAGTCGAAATAGGGTTGAACACGGATACACTAAGAAGCCGAGCTATTGCATCTGTCCCACTGCTAATAGTCCACCTACCCGGTGATTGTTGTGCTTCTTTTATTTGCCACTGAATGCATCAGTTCGTTTAACTTCTTTTACATGTTTCAACTCTTTAAACCAATACTATTATGGTGATGGTGGAGTCAAGGCAATTAAATTCGTCTTATTTTGTTGCACAAACCATGGACGGCCGACAAATACACCGAATACGATTTGAGTGGATGCACAACACAACAAAATTGTGACAGCGATAGAGCGTCAAACATTGGAATGAGTGGGAACAACGCAGCAAAAACGTGTTATATTGAAAAAAATTGATTTCACTCACACAATAGATCATACCTATTAACGCGGTGAATTCAGGATCTATGAAGCACTGGATCATGGGAGCAATGGTGTAGCATCAAGGTAAGCTGCGTCATGCAACAACATCGATAGTTACCAATTAGTGCAGTCTGTAATTATTGATGAAATTAACAAGAACCATGCGTATGATTCAGCTGGTCTGCTGACCAAGCGATTGAGTAAAAAGTCATGCCAGTATGAGAAGAAAAAGAGTAGTGGGGTAGAAAAGTGAATATGCTTACTGGCGTTCCGGGTGAAGTAACCTCTTTGATCATTGAAGCAGACATCCCACAAGTGAGGATTGGGTCGGCCGCAAGATCAGCTGAATGGGGACTAAAGTGTTCATGCGTTTGGTGGATCAGTTGTTCTTTTGTGCGTAGTCTTGATTCGAGGTCACTTTTATCATTTAACAACTGGTCCACCGGTCGCTTGCAAACACAGTGACGCCGTCGAAGAATGGAATTGAGCTTTGCCAATCGCGTCGCCTGTTGTTGCATCTGAAAGAAAACAAATTCTATGAGTAATAAGAGAGATATCAAATGAATTGATAAAGAACCGGTACAGATCAATGGGATGATTCTGTAGCAATATTATCAGCCAACTCGGTTGATGCTGAAAACTTCAAGCTCGCTTACGAGTGAAGCGGGAAGGGACACAGTGATGAAATTAGTACAAAACCATGATCGAAGGACTGCATTTAACTGGACTGAACGGCAACACTGAATACACCGGACTGCCATGTGGATCCGATAGATACAAAGGACAACATTAGATCTAGAGAAATGGAGGATAATGGGTTAGAGAACTACACAGATGGGATGACAAGAGTATGAGATGAGTAGGTGGCGCCAGCACACTTAGGCCGACTCACTGCGTCAAGGTCCATATTGCGTTGGGTCAATTGTCGTCGGAGACTACGAAGTTCCACTTTCTGTCGGTCGATCACATCCTTCAAACGTAACAGTAGCTGAACTTCTTCAAGAGTCCCCGAGTCTGGTTGCATGGAAAAGTGAGGCAATTAGGGGGGGAGGGACAGAGACAACGATTACTTCTCTCCGAAATAAAGATAAAGGAGTATGTGCCGGAAATGAACTGACTACTGGTTGGTTCAGCGGAGCTGTACGCCACCGGGCGCGTCCCCAGGTTGCGGATCAGGAAAGGCCTTCCTTGTGAAGGTAACTGTGAATAAGTCTCGGCTGTTTGCAGACGAGATGAATAAGCAGACAATCAGTGGCAGCGTCCTAGAGCGTAGGAGGTTCTGGGCTGGTCACCTGATTCCACATTAAATATCACAAGAGCTACCAAGACGCTGTGTCAAAGCCAATGTGACCGGCTATAGGGTCATTGATCACTCACTTCTGGTCACAGAACTGAGTACTTAACGGAGGGCGGATGAACAATCTCGGTGGCCACCGGCTTCTATGAAGGCATATGAGCCACCCGGCTGTCAACGGCCTTCGTGTTTCGCGACGAGCTCGGTAGTCCTTGCTGCTTCACTGGGGCTCTTTGGGCGCCCTGAGTAGTTTGTCTCTACTCGAAAGTCGTTCACCTAGAGCGCTGACCCCCAACGGTCACGGTATACGTCAATCACCCCGCTGCCTTGCGGGATAGGTCTTTACGACCAAAGACTCTGGGTGGGGTTCCCTAAGTCAACGCACTTTCTCGGCCTGGGCAACCGGGAAGGACAATGCCCACACAACCTATGGATCCATGTCTCAACAATTCTTCGCTCGCTCTAACTGCTCTCACTCTCAATATAAGCGGAAATCATAGACTGTTATATACAGGGGAAAATTGGCACATCAATCAAAATGTCATAATCAAGACCACAGTAACCTAATTGATTGTCACAATAGTTTCTTTGCACACAACACAGGTTGATAAACTCTAATTAGCAGAGTCTCACTAATTGCCAAAATTATCGGATTGTTGTTGCGTAATAACACTTTGAACGCAGTCGCCGGGTTCACCTGATGTCGAGTTGCTGAGAGATGCTTGGTGGTAGATGATACTGGGCTCCGGCTCATCCTCGGATCCACTCCATTTTGTTGCGTCATCAGGTGTTCAGCAAATTTTCAGCTACCCTCTGAACTAACTGACGGTCAGTCTTGCTTATGTAACTGTCACCGCAATCGCAGATGAACTGGTAAAAGACGTGAGAGGCCGAACTGACTGATGAGTTGCTCTGACGGTCATGAAGAACAAGGCTTCGCGTTGTATGTATGAGTCGCAACTGGGCGGTCGCGTAGGTGCGCGTAAGGGAGGACTGGAGTTTGTGTCCTACATCGTTTGATACATGGTCTCCTTTGAACGGTAAGAACAAATAAACATTCTTTCTCTGCTGGTAATACCGGTATTGTCTCCTTGGGAGGCCTGATGTGGATCTGAATGAACTTTTCAGGATACTCATCTGACACCAAGGTTTTGAACATAAATTCTTCTTCAGCTTGCAACATTTCGGGGCTGCATATCCGTCTGGCTCTGTAGAGCGTTTTCACTAGGTCACGTTTGTATGCGACCGGAACAAAGCTGGAAAACTGGAGGTACTGCCCGCTCCAAGTTGCCTTGCGGTGAGTCTTGAGCTGTAGTGTACCATCGAACCCTCTCTTAATGAGTATATCCAAAAATGGCAGACTGTCGTGTTGCTCCAACTCATGGGACACCGATAGATTTGGTTGAATTGAATTCAGAACTGTCGACAGCCGCGCAAAATGTTCGTTGCTGGTGAAGACTAGGATGTCATCCACATACCGCATGTACAACGTAGCTTCACCAATGATGGCAGCAACTTGTCTTTCTATCAAGCCGAGAAAGATGTCTGCTAATACTGGTCCCAGAGGGCCACCTACGGAGACGTCGTCGATCGGTTTATAAGCAGTCCCCTCAAACTCGAACCGTATATTTTCCGTGCATAATAGGATCATATTCCTCAAAGACTCCAGGGGCAGGCCAACAGACATGTTTTGACTCGCGATGAAATCACACAAATTATCAACCGTCTCACGTAGAGGCACGTTTGGGAATAGGGAGTCGACGTCTATTGAGTACACGTGCTTCGCACCCAGCGACACGTGTTCTAGTGTCTCGACTAATTAAAAGGAGTCGTTTAGACAATACGTGGCCTGATGACGCAACAAAATGGAGTGGAGCCGAGGATGAACCGGAGCCCAGTATCATCTATCACCAAGCATCTCTTAGCAACTCGACATCAGGTGAACCCGGGGACTGCGTTCAAGGTGTTATTACGCAACAACAATCCGATACTTTTGGCAATTAGTGAGGCTTTGCTAATTAGGGCTTATCAACATGTGTTGTGTGCAAAGAAACTATTGTGACAATCAATAAGGTTACCGTGGTCTTTAGGTTGGTGGGTCAATTTTCCCCTGTATATAACTGCTCTCACTCTCTCAAACTGCTGTCATCGGCCGAGGTGCTGGCGGTTGAACTTGTCAAACCACGTTTTACCGCACCACCGTTTAGTCACTTTATTCCACGTAGACTCAACTCCTCCATACTTGGTCTTCCCCCTCCGTTTTCGAGTTCACAACATTGTGCCGCTCTGAGCAATCGTTCTCGTCATACGGATCAGGAGCCTAGGTCCGAAAATGAGCCAAGTCGTGTTGACAAGTCATTTCTAGCGCGCCGTTCCCAATTCAAGTAGACAACCTTCTATGTTCGGACGCTGATGCAGATAGGATCACAGGCAGCCCTTCCTCGCACTCCAGAAACTACGGCCATTGATGTCTGCTGTCTCAGCAAAGCCAGTTTACAGGACTCTAGCACGACGCTGCGACTAGTTTCACCGTCTGCGAATCCAACTGGCATTTTCACTTCGCGCCTATCTAGAGACTCAATCGCCGAAACCACTGGTAATGCTGGCGTGGGCATTGCGTTGAGCACACGTGCTGAGGTAGCGCTATTAGACTGGATTCATGTTAACAGTCGACTATGCGCGATCCGACTTGAGACTTCAGTGCGACTGTCCAGGCGCGAAATCAGCAGACGTTGTCTATTTATTGTTGCAGCGTACGCTCCCATAGATTGCACCCCGGAGTCAGTTAAAGATGAGTTCTATGGTCAACTGGACGACCTTCTCCGTAAAAAGTGCCGTACTGACATCCTGGTGCTCGCCGAGGACTTGAACGAGCAGGTCGGTAGACTTGAAGTTGACAAACGTGAACTCGGTGGTTAGAACGGCCATGGTACTCGCAGAACAGGCAACGGCGATTGATTACTTCAGCTTTGCGCCGATCACGGTCTTTTTCTGTCGAGCACTAGCTTTCGGGGATCCTGGCGCCAACGCACCACCTGGAGACCCCCATCACCTGACCAGTCGTGGACACAAATTGACCACATCGCCCTTAGCTATTGTTGGCGGGGCAGCATACAGGATTGCAAATCTACCTGGAGTACTTATCACACTTCGGATCACGCGCTGGTGTGTGCCAAGGTTGCGCTACGTTCTGGTGGCTCCCAGCAACGTCGCCAGAAACGGCTTGACGTAGTTAAGCTTTCTACCCCAACCGTTCTCCACGCATTTCAGGATGCCTTGGTCCCACAGCTGAAGACTGCCTCATCACGGACATTGAAACATACTGGACACACATCCGCGGTGCCATGTACAACTCTACAACCCTGGTCTGTGGCTTCACCAACAGTCATGCCAAGCACTGGATCTCTGCACGAGCCCTCCAATTTCTCGAAGCCTGTCGAGCAATTCCTAGTAACGTTAAATACCATTCACTACGCAAGGCTACTAATGCTGAGTTCAAACAACTTCTCCGGGAAGATCGCGAGGCCTGGTTGACGCAGTGGGTCATTGAGATGGAGTAAGCGGCCACCTCGGGGAATTTCCGAAAACTTTTCCTCCTGATCCGGTATATTGACGGCAAAAGGCCGACTGTAAGCGAAGTTTTATGCGAAACCAATGGCGAGCCAATCCACTGTCAAAAACGTCGACTCGAGCGTTGGGCCGAGCACTTTGAGCAGCAGTTTAATTGGCCAGTAGCATCAATGAGTTCCCATTCTGGAGCCCAGAGCGCTCCTTGGTGTGTAGACGCTTCAACAACATCCGAGGCTGAGGTTGCCCATGAGCTTCGCCTCTTAAAGCGTTACAAAGCCCCTGGCCCAGATGAACTCCTTCCAGCTCCTGTCAAAGATGGCGGCCAATCACCTGTTCAAGAGTTAACTTCTCTTCTTTAAAAGATCGGGGTCACTGAAGTTATCCCATCTGATTGGAGCCTAACGGATATCGTGTCCGTCTTCAAAAAGGGTACCCGAACTGACTGCGCCAACCACAGAGGGATTAGTCTCATCTGTGTTGCTTCCAAGGTGCTCACAGCTCTGCTTTTAAGGAGGCTCAGCCTGGTACGCGAACAGAGCATACGTGAAGAGCAAACTGGGTTGCGTTCAGGTCGGAGTTGCATCAATCACATCGTTACACTCCGCTAAGTACTCGAGCGTCGTCAAACATTTGGCTAACTAACCATCGTTGTATTCTTAAACATACGAGCCGCATTTGACTCAGTCGACAGAGCTTCTCTCTGGAGTTGTCTACTGATAAGGGGTGTGTCCGAGAAGTATGTCACCTTACTTTGAGCCATTTACTCTTAAACCTCGGGTCGAGTGCGGGTGTACGGCGGACTTTCGCCCCTCTTTGGTATCACCAGTGGAGTAAGATAGGGTTGCCAAGCATCCCCCTTCTTGTTCAATTTCGCTATAGACGAAACCTTGGAGAACTGCGAACCCAACGGCGTCGGGCTGCTTCCGGGGGATCGACTTCGGGATGTGGAGCATGCGGACGACATCGCCGTAATCTGCACTTCCTCACAGGCCGTCCAAAATGTTCTGTGTAGGTTTGAGATGTCTGTTTCTCAATTTGGAATGACCTTCGCACCATGGAAATGTAAGGTTTACCTGCAGGACTGGCTAGGCGCTGCTCCTGACCTTACCCTTCTAGGTCATTCATTGGGAGGGGTATGTATGTATGTATG